TACATGGCCTCGTTTCTTTCATGAAAACGATCTCGAAGTTAAACTGAGGCTAGAAACCTCTTAAGAAAGAGAAAAACCTGAGTTTTAGGTTTACAAAGACTGCTAAAACAAGAAAACATAGGAAGGCTATTCCGAAAGGCTTCTTTCATTAAAAGGGGGGGCGGGGAGGCATCTGAGTGTGAGAAGTAACTGAAAGCCGACTAGAACTATATCCTACAATAAAATAGAAAGCCAGCACACGTCTGCTCTTCACTGCTTCCCACTTGTTTTATGCATTAGCTTTGCTCCCCCCCGTTTGGTTGAGGTTCCTCTCCAGAAAAAGTGTTCCTATTGCACGTGCCACAGAGCTTCGCCCAGCACTGGACACGGCAGATTCTCAACTATTTGTTAATGGGTTGGCTGGAGATGCGGCATCAGAATGATGTCGTGATCAGCTAATTTAAAAAAAAAAGGTGTTTTCTCCAGGGGAGTATTTCTGAGTCTGCCCCGATCGGCCGCCAAAAGGGCCTCATCCAGTTTCCAGACGACTTTCGAGAAGCAGTGATTTCACACGGGTGGGGGGTGGGTGACCTTGACGATGCCGGCTCCACATGAGGTCATGTGGAAAGGCTGAATTTGAAAATTCCTTTTAGATTGCTCATGCGTGCAACCCAACGAGTGTACACTAACTGGGAAAAAATGCACCACGAGGGTGACACGCCATCAGGGTCCCTTTAGTTAGTGCAATAAGGCCAGGGGTAGAAGGAAGGCGAACTGTAAGACTAGAGTCTATTCTACACTGAAACACTGGACTGTGGGGCGAACGGGTGAGCCGGGCTTTGACTGGAACAAGGCAAGTGGCCACCCCGGTAGCATGTCGGCGGGGCTGGTGGCCACCCCGGTAGCATGTCGGCGGGGCTCGTGGCCACCCCGGTAGCATGTCGGCGGGGCTCGTGGCCACCCCGGTAGCATGTCGGTGGCGCTGGTGGCCACCCCGGTAGCATGTCGGTGGGGCTCGTGGCCACCCCGGTAGCATGTCGGTGGGGCTGGTGGCCACCCCCGCCTGCTCACCAGCCCCTAACGCGATGCGCGGGGCTCTTCAGCTGGGAGGGGCGTCGAGGGCACAGGCGGGGAGGAGCCAGCCGGAGGGGCTGTGCGACCCGCAGAGGAAGCGGTTCCAGGGCCGGTCCCGGCCCAGACCTGTGAGAGGACAAAGGTGAGCACGGAAGGTGTCTTGCGGGGTGAAAGGAGACCCCAATCTCGAGGTCACCTCGTTGCAGCTCCGCCAGGAGCGGCGGAGGGAGGGGCCCGAG